TGCCTGTAGTGGCGACCCGTGACCATGTAGATATAAACAGCTTTTTATAAGGTAAAAATAATAAAACAAGGTCTTTGTCTGCAATGAGTAGACATGTTTTTTATTATTGTCATCAGTGATTATTTYAATWTTGGTTAAAAGAATTGACAAAATCCTACACACTGTGCCWTTAARTCTTTTTATTATTGCGTAAATCACACATTCAAACATCAACATTAAAAAAAAAAACAACCTATGCAGCGTTTTTATTCATCAGCGTCACAAAGCTCAAAAGTTTTGACCACCTCCAGCTTATGTGAACAATCATCAATCAGTGTCACTAAAACTCCAGCGTCTCAAAGAAAAACAAACCCGAGTAACATCCTTCCCTGTTCATCGGATCACGAGGACAGCGCTAAACGTCAGCCTAAGTGTTGTCAAGATGTATTTAGCAGATAATCAGATCCAGTTACTCATAAAAAATTCAGGAGTGGTCTGWGAAACGAGGCCACATTGTTATAACTGCGGGGAGAGAAATGTGTCCTGAGCCACATTTAGAAACAACCAACTCATGCCTTTTATATAAGCAGCATTTTTCACCAAGYTCGCATGTTCATCTGAGTTTTTACTCATGTATATTTCCTTGCCTTTTGCTAAAACAATTAACCGCTTCTTGAAAAAACATATTTGCAGAAAAGTATATGAAATATCAAATTCAGTAAGGGACATGCTGTTCGTGGTGCTCAGATAATCAGGATTTTTTTTTACATATCTTTTGATTGATTCAGAGAAAATGGGAAAAATTAAAAGCATCAGTTTGTATATTTTCAGTAAAGAGCACAGACTGAACGTTTCAGCAAAAAAAGTATGTTTTGTTATGACTTTATTTACAACACCCARCAAAACTTCAGTCATCTAATAAATCAAATACGTGCTACGTGTTGCACTAAATCAGTTTTTAAAACTTCCTCTTTGTCTGACAGCATTCTGTTTACAAATTAAGGAATCATCTGCACAAGCTGACATTGGAAAACACAAGCAATCACGCAGCTTAATATCTATCCAAAGTTATGTCACTTATATTCAAATCACGGCGTTCATGAACCAAGCGGAGCCGAGGATTAGCTGAGAGCTCAACCTTGATGATATCTATGTGAGGATGTTAGAGCAGAGTCTCTGTCAACTGTTCAGCTCAGCTGTAGTCAGAGATGAGTCATACAGCTCCAGTTCACTGATCAACACCTCTGCCGCAGCCCCCTGGCACTGTTTAACACACACACAGACACACACACACAACCCTGTGTCAATCTGTCAGAAACAAATGGGGTGAGGTACTGTAAACACACACACACAACCCTGTGTCAATCTGTCAGAAACAAATGGGGTGAGGTACTGTAAGGGGACTGTTCAGCCCAAACAGCAGTGACCTCAGCCTGTACCCTCCGACACCCTCTGATACTGTAAAACCCTCCATCATACATTTATTTATCTTTGCACCTGGCTATGATTGTAGTTCATCTGAAAACTATATATTTGTAATTATGGATAAATTTATTTTTAAAGGACCAGCATGACAGAAAAAATGCTTAATGAGAGTAATTAAGCCTCGTGCAGCAAACAATGGAAGCAGACTGAAAATGTGGGCAAAATATAAAGTGGTTCTGATTGGCATGAGTTGTTTGGTTTATTTTATTACTTTTTTAATGGGGTTGGGGGGATAAAAAAAACAACTAAATGAAACGAGAACAAAAAAGTTTTTCCATGCATGTCTGGTGCGTATGGAGAAAGCTCATACTAATTTTCTGAGCAAACGTGTTTAGTTTTGCTTGAATGTGGTCTTTGGGCTTTGATTTGGGATTTAAATTGTCAAATACTTTTATGAAGGTCGGGCAGATCGTTGCTCTGGATTAGTGTTTTGTATGAAACAGCTAAAATAAGCTAATTAACATTTTGCCCATTTGTCCATTGGACAAAAAGTTTGTGTGTGTGTGTGTGTGTGTGTGTGTGTGTGTGTGTGTGTGTGTGTGTGTGTGTGTGTGTG